TTATCCAGCGAGTGGTGTAGGGGAATTTATGAAGGATCCATGGGTTCCACATTACATTTGGATGAGAATTTTACTCTCATCCAAATTTCATTTATTTGTTTCATCATTCAAATTCTATTTAATCAGTTAATTGTCAAAAAAATATAATTTGAAACCAAATAACTAAAATTAATAAAAATTACTAAATTTTAGAAACTATTAAAAATTAAGAAATTAATAAAAATTAGTAGTTCATAAATTAAAAATTAAAATACATTTAAGTTCTTTTAAAAATAACTAACATTAATAGGATAATTAAAACCAATAAGAAAAAGTAAGAAAATATTAAAAGTAGCAAAAAAACCATTTGAATTCCATATAAAAATTAATTAAAATAATGAAACCAATAATGGCCCAATTAGAAATGTCATAAGACTCCTTCAACTTAGGAATGATCATTTATAACTTAGCCCAACTTGGCTAGACCTACAAAGTTCCAAGATCAAGCAACTATTTTCTTTTGAGCTACGTCTAGCTCAGATCTGCACCAAGACCACACATAATGTAGACAATAGGATTGTAAACGGATTGAATTCAGATCGGATACAGCTGCATCCATATTCAATTATGAAATCTCTAGATCCACATCCACATCCAATTATTATGTTGGATTTTGAATTGGATTTGGATTTAACCCGTAACCTTCTTATTGTGTTTAGAATGACCCAAAACATTTTTAAAAAATTAAAAAAAAAAACTAATTATGTTTGTACAATATGTATAATATGTTAGACAGTTTTGTCTGCCCTTAGCTTCAATCCGATTTGATGTACTTTTGTTATTTAGTGDAAATAAATAAAGYGYATGTTTGATTSATGTTGTTTGGTACAATTCTGTGTAAGACCCTAAAACTGGACACTTATAGAGACTCGTGTTAGTTTTAAATGTTCACAGCCATTGGATAAGTCTTGGGAGATTTATCCTGCCAAGGCTGATACTAGTGTGCCACCAAATGTTGGGATGGCCTGCCTCGGCCACCAGGGTAAGACCCAAGGCACATAAAGTATGGGATTACTCGAATCCTTGAAC